AGGCGGGCGCGCGCGGCGCGGCGCTTGGCACGGAGCCGGTTGCGGGGCCGGGCGTGACGAGCCTGCAGGCGGTGCTGGCGGACGGGCGGCGTGTGGCGCGCCGCTTCGCGCTCGAGGCGCCGCGGCGAGATTGTCGCGCACTTGTTGTCCTCACCAGCGACGTTTCCGCGACACCTCCTAGCGCCTTCCTGGGCATGGCGCGACGTTTCCGCGACACCTCCTAGCGCCTTCCTTAGGCGCCGCTGCGCGACGTGTTTGATTGGGTGGGTGCATTGGGCGACGGGACGGACTTCGAGCTCGTGTCGAGCTTCCCGCGCCGCACTTTCGCCGCCGCGGTGGCGGACGAGACCCTCGCGTCGCTCGGCGCACAGCCTAGACTCTACCCCACCTAGCACACGCGACACACCCAGGCCGCATCACCCCCCTCCTCCGTGTTGATGCACTGCGCCTTTCCGTGCGGACCTCACGGCTCACGCCTCTCTTTCTGATGCTCGTCTGCCGCCTTGCCTGTTTAGGCCTCGGAGGGCAGACGCTGTACCAACGCCTCGACGAGGAGGGCGATGGGTCGGGGAGCGACGCTGCCGCGGGAGGCGAGCCGGGCGGAACGGGCTGAGGGTGGCTTGCGGCTGCGCGGGTGGGAGGAAGGGTGCGACGAGGAGTCGGGAGCGTCCGCCGGAAAAGTGTATGACGACAGTGCCGGGAAGAGCCGCGGGCGAGTCCGAGTGTTGTGTTTCGGTGTGCGTGTCTTGTCTCTTGCGTTGGGTCTCGCTCTCGGCGTCAATGTGCTGCTGTGCGTGGTAGATGTAGAGCCGTGCGCATTGGCACGCTGCCAGAAAATAACTCGCGCTATCCTCCATAGTAGCGAGAGAGAGAGAGTAGAGCCGCATAAAAAATAAAATCGCAGTGAAACCACCCCCTTTCCAACCGTCTCAGGGACGGACGCATTTGCCCCCTTTCAAAGGCGGTTTCGAAGTTGATGAGACCTCGCCCCCCCCTCTCCAATGAAAGGCGTAAAAAGAGGCGCGGAACAGGCCGGAACCGCCGCTTGCACGTGGGTCACACAATGGCAGCGCTCCAGACGCGCTCTGGTAGCTGCCAATGAAGCTGCAGCCCATCGCGCGCGCGCCGGACGGCCACTGCACCTCCACTGCATTGCCCTCCTGCACCGAGCGACGCGTCAAACCTTTGTTGCTGCCCATGACCGCCGGCGGCTCCGAGCTCGGGCGAGCGAGCCCTGGCTGAGCTGAGCCACTGCGGTCGCAATTGCAGCGCTGCGGTCGGTGCAGAGTGGCCGTGCGCGTACGGCGTCGTACGCGCACGGCCGCTCTGCCTCAGTGGCGTGCGGCTTGGGCCAACTGGAGGTCGCTCTCCGACCTCGCTCGCCGAGCTCACAATCCGGCGCGAGCCGCATCGAGTGGAAGTTCGACTTCAGCTGCCGCGAGTGGATGGACTGCCTTGTCGAGTGCAAGCAGTTGGGCTCCGCCGGGAGCATGTGGTGCAACATGTTCTCTGGGCGCCAGCAGACGCGAGCGCGCGAGCGCGTGTTGAAACGGACGCTCCATAGCAACACTCGAGATACACTCGAAGGGGTACACGTTTTCTTTTCGGGTTTCGTGGGTTATAGTGCACTTGGAAGCGACGAAACCGAAGACGGTTGGCCCCGGGGTGGTTTCACTGCGTCGCCTCGAGGGGGTCGAGGGAGCCCTCGTGTGGCTCGTGGACTGTTCTTGCTTCTTGTCACCTTCCTACCTATGTTTTTATGGTGATGCTGCCACGATGCACAATGTGCTGCGTCGAAGCACCGGCCCTGAGTCCGAGTGAGTTTGATGTCCCTCATTCAGTAGGGTGCGCAACTGAGAGCTGCAAAAGGGGATGAAACAGCCCTTGGGGTGCTCCTTGGCGCTTGGGTGCTGCCTTGTGCAGTGGCAATTTTCTGGCACTAGTGAGTTTGATGTCCTCATCAATAGGGTGCAACTGACAGCCAGCAAAAGGGGACGAAACAGCTGATCAACTGACTCTCGATGAGAGGGTCACGGCTCGGGACGGCTCGGTCGGGGCCCTCGGGACCGCTCGAGACCGCTCGGGACCGCTCTCGGACATTGGTCATTGCTGCTCCTCCGCCCCCCTGGCGCGACGTGAGTCCCTCTACACCGCTTGTGACTGTGCATGCATCCAGGACGGTGTCAGAGACGCTTACTTAGACACCATTGGCTTGTGGGAGGAGTAGTTTCTTTCTTGTATTGACCAACATCCGGGATCGAGGTGGCCCCACCCAAGGGCCGCCCATCAAAGGGACTGCGACAGAAGACGCCCAATCTTGCTGCGCAAGCAAGAAAAGCGGCATATGTCGGCACGCCGAAATAAAAGGCTCCGCATGAGCACAATGGAGGAATTTAAGTTTCCACTTAAGTTTCCACAGTAGCACTAGGCTCTAGGCACCACGCTGTCGTCAAACCCAGGATGGAGGCGAGCCAAGTTGCTGCTTCACGAAAAAAAATCTTGTTCGGGTGCCCGGTTTTGCGCCGGGCGCCGGCTTCGCGGTAATGAGCGGAGACACGCTAACCACCAGTTACCAGGACGCCGAGGAGGCGTTGAGCCGCGCAAAGCTCACGGCCGAGCGCACGGAGCGTGTCGGCGCCCACGTCCTCGGCACGCTCGGTGACCAGCGGCAGCAGCTCCTCGGCGCCGCGGACGGTGCGGCAGCTTGAGCCTTGCTGCGGCCAGCCAGCCACGGCTCCACTCCCACACCCCTCGACCTGTCCACCCCTCCACCACCCCAGGCCTCGAGGCCGCGGACCACGAGCTGGGCCGCACGAAGCAGACCATCAGCGACCTCTTTGCGCGGCTGGCGCGGCGTAGGCGCGTGGCGCTCCTCCCTCCCTCATCGCTCTCGCAGCTCTTAAATTCCACCACCACCGGTGACCCGCGCCCCTGTAGGCGCTGCCTCATCGGCACCGCCGCCGTGCTCGCCCTCATCGCCGCGGTCCTCCTCTATTGGAAGCTGCGCAATGCCTTTGGCGGAGGCGGCTAGCGGCGCCATCCTCGCCTTGGCCGGTCCCGGCTCTGCGGCTGTTTCTGAGAGAGGTGTGATTGTCTTTCGTCCAAGCCACAGTCTCACTTTGTCTCAAGATTGGCGCAAACCAACGCGCAACGGCACAGGCACCTCTTATCGTAAAAGAGAGACGTGTGTGTGTTTTGTGTGATGCTCTGAAGGATTGAGACACATTGAGAGAGACACCTCTGAGACACCTTCGGCGAAGGTCACCTAGCTCCGTGAGAGACTGTCACACTCCTCACACATCACTCAAAACTCTCAAAAAGCATGTGCACAAAAGCCACTGCGCTGTTCGTGAGTTCGTCCTGTTGCCGAATCTGAGCGGATTCCGCGCGCCTTTTCCCCTGCACCTCCCCCCTCTCACTAACGGTCACTAGAGACACACTACGCCACGGTAGTTACGGCTAACAGTTTACTGTGGGCTCTCCTGTATCTTATTACTGGGCTGGGTCTTTAGGCATTGTGGGGTTGGCACTCCCATCGACCCTCATGACCTCCTGCGGTCTCTGAGGTGGACACCACAGTGGGTGTGGGAGAGTGGGACCACAGTCAGGATACACTCGAAGGCTGGGTAAGCAGTAGAGCTAGAGGTCGATACTCGACGCGTCCCACATGGTCTGTGTCGCTGTCGGGACGCTGTCGACAGGACGTCGAGCGACACCGGGGCAGTGCCACCCAGGAGTGGTCGGGCGGTCTTCCGTCATGAGAGAGCCACCATGTGATCCGTATGATGATTCCTGACAACCGCCTGCCCCTCAGTCAACTTTCGTCACAGTTCCCGCTCTGAGAGGAGCTGCGGGTCAGCTCGACAGCTGGAGCTGTGTCGCCGGCGTGCAGCGGCCTGCCTCCGGAGGTGCCTCTGAGGTGGACATTTTTTGGTCACCGTGAGAGAACGCGTTCGAATTTTACACTCCGGAACTTCAACTCCACACGCGCACCGGTCAGGGCTACAATAGTGCCAGTGACGAGGCGGAGGCGCGTGTCTTTCCCTTCATTTTCCTACAATCGCTGTGAGCTCCCAGCCACGTACTTCCTCGCTTTCACCGCGTTTGGTGTACTTTGGCAAAGTCTTCTTTGGTCTTTGCTCTATTTCGTATTTGCACTTTTTTGCAAAAACTTGTGAAATTCCTTCAGTGAAACGGGGGCGGCCGAAAAATTGTAACAGCGTTTCATGATCATGTGAAATTCTCTCTCTCATGAATTCACATGTGAAAGTGAAAGTTTGAAATTTCACTCACGAACCGCCTGTCAGCAGCGAGGCTTGTGCACCATAGCACAATTGCCGAATTGGCCAGGCCATAGCACAGATTCCTACCACAGCCCTCTCTAGACACTCTCGCAGACCGGCACGCGGCCAGAGCGGTTCGTGATCTGTCGCCCCGCTCCCGACTCCTGGGGCCGCGCTCACTCTTTGCTCAGCTGGTTGGCGCACCGGTCAAAGCTCGTCTCGAGCTCGCCGTACTTCGCGACCCACGGGTGTGCGGGTGCGGAGATCTTGAGCTGGGAGGTGTACCGCCCGATCACCTCCGCCGGCTTCTGCAGCTGGTTGAGGCAGACCACCAGGTTGATGAGCGAGGTCGTGTCGTTCGGCGACTGCGACAGCGCCTCCTGCAGCAGCCTCTCGGCCTCGTCAAAACGGCCCATGTGCATGTTGCACGAGGCCATCGCGTTGAGCAGCATGAGCGACATGTGGTACTTCTCGCCCAGCTCCTGGAACTCGTACAGCGCATCCTGCGCCGTCTCGCCTCCCGACTCGCACAGGCTCGTCCACGCGTGCGAGAGCCTATGGGGAGCTTCCTAGAATGTTCCCTAAAAGGTTCGAGGTCAAGGGGGTCGTACACGTGTGCGAGAGCTTTGTCAGCGTGTCGTCGTCGTACTGCTCCTGCATCGACTTGACCTGCGGGGCGGGGCGGGGCGGGGGGGGGGGGGGGGGGGTCGGTGGCCCCACGGGGTCCCTGGGCGGAGGGGTAAGGGCGGGTCAAGGACGGGGGAGGGGGTCGAACGGCGTGTGGCCTCTTTGGCGCAGGGCGCGGAGGAGGGCGGCGAGGCGGGGCGGGCAGCGCGCGCCAGCTTGCGCGCGAGGTCGGGGCGGTCCATTTGTAGGTAGATCTGGACGACGAGGGCCATCACGTCGATCTGCGTGGACTGGTGTGAAATCTTGAGCGCCTCCTTGTGGTCCCTCTCGTGCAGGAACACCGTCGCCGCCACGAGGATCAACTGCCAGTTGTCCTGCGCGGTCGCGTCCGTCAGCCACTCCTTGAGCTGCGCTACCACCGCCTCCTTGGAGACGCCCGATAGGTACGACGCGAGCATCTTGACCGCCTGCAGCGCGACCGG